ACTCTGTCTCAAAAAAAAAAAAAAAAAAAGAAGCCATTTTTCTTACTGAATTATGATACTGTTTTCACACAACAAAATTAACAGTAATTTTTAAATGTCATCTAGTAACCTGTCTGTATTCAAAGTTCACTGGTTATCTTAAAAAATGCATTTTAAGTTTGAATCAAGAGATAGGCATTATCATTCCCATTTTACAGATGAGGAAACTAAGTCTGAGAAGTTGAGGAGCTGGTCCAAGAGTGAAGTGCACAGATAGGAAATAGCCCATATGAACACTGTTGTAACTGTAAAGTGTGGTACAAAGGGCCCTGAGCGCCTTCCAGCAAATAGCCCTGTTCAAACCCGGCCTCCCTGAATGTGTGCAGGAATCCTGCATTGTTTCTGCCTGGGGACGTCTGGGTGGACATCCTTCCAAAGTTGTTCAGAATGCCCTTTCCAGAGGGCCCCAGGCTGGGGCAGGCAGGCACCCACTCGGCACCCAGGGAAGTGGATTACCTGGCATGTGCAGGGGCCCAGGTGCCCGGCTGTACCCCCAGGCAGCCCTTCAGGGTCTGCAGCTGCCTGAGGGCCCGGGCATGGCTGTGGTGCTGGGGGAAGCCTCGGGGCCCCACCAGCCGCAGCCCTTGCTCCACGTGTTCCAGCTGAAGGTACAGACACTGCCTGTAGGTGCTGTCCTTCCAGGGGCTACTCCCTGCCACCTTGGGCTTGGGACACTGCGTTTTCTCTGGAGGACAAAGGAGAAAGCAATCAGCTCGTGCTGAGCCAAGAGCAAACCAGCTGCAATACAAACAACAGCTAGGTGTGGCAGCATGTGCAGGTGGGCCCGGCTACTCAGGAGGCTGAGGCAGGAGGATCGCTGGAGCCCAGGAGGTCGAGGCTGGGTATTAAAAATGGTAGTAAAAAAACAGTGAGCTATGATGGCACCACTTCACTCCAGCCTGTGCAACAAAGCCAGACCCTGTCTCTCAACAAAACAAACACACCTCCCGCCACAAAACGCAACAGTAACAGTACCAGCTTCTGAGTATGAAAGACTTGCTACGTGCCAAGCCCTGAGAAATCTGAGGTTCAGAGAGACGGAGTAAGGTTTTAGGGTCACACAGCCAGTTAGGATTTGATGTTTCTCTTTTAGATTTTTTATCAGAGACATTCTGAAAATTTCCCTACACATCAAGAGAACAGAGGAGAATCCCACACTCATCACTCCAGCTACCACAATGACCAACATTTGGCCAATCTTGGTCATCTCTTTTCTTCCCCTGGGTTTTTTGTTTTTGTTTTTGCAATGAAGTCTCACTCTGTCTCGCCAGCTGGAGTGTGGCAGTGTTATCTCAGCTCACTGCAACCTCCGCTTCCCGGCTTCAAGAGGCAATTCTCTTGCCTCAGCCTCCTGAGTAGCTGGGACTAAGGCGCCCGGCACCACACCTGGCTCATTTTTGTATTTTTAGTAGAGATGGGCTTTCACCACATTTCCCAGGTTGGTTCTAAATTCCTGACCTCAGGTGATCCGCCCGCCCCGGCCTCCCAAAGTGCTGGGATTACAGGCGTGATCCACAGTGCCCGCCCTCACCCCTCCACTCCCCCACCCCCCGGCCCAGAGCATTTTAAAGCAAATACTTTAATATGGTAAGACTTGAATGTAAACCCTGTTTTGTCTAGTGCCAAATATAGTGTAATCCTGTCCTGTTGTTGTTGTTGTTGTTGAGATGGAGTTTTGCTCTTGTCGCACAGGCTGGAGTGCAGTGGCACAATCTCAGCTCACTGCAACCTCCGCCTCCTAGGTTCCAGTGATTCTCCTGACTCGGCCTCCCGAGTAACTGGGATTACAGGCACCCACCACTACACCCAGCTAAAAAAGTCACTTTTTAAATATCAGATCTCACTCTGATTAATTGGACTCTGCAAGTGGCAAGCAGCTAAAACTGCATTTTGGTTACAGTCGGGTATATGCATCTCCAGCACTGACTCAGATTAGGTTGGGGTGTTGGGTAAATGGCTATGGTGAGGTCAACTCCTACCTTCCTCTGACTCACAGCCTCCTCTCTCACCCTTCTGACCTGGGGCTCCCTCACTGAAGCCTCAGCTGAAGATTCCAAGTCAACACTTTATTTTGCAAGGCTTCTGCTAATGTTTCTGAAAGACAACATCACTGCCAATCATAACACCACTTACTGAATACCTGCTTTGTGTCAGGCTGGGATCTAAACAGTTTACATGTCTTATGATCTTACTCAGGCCTCACAATAAGCCAACGAGCTAGGTGGATCAATACCCCTATTTTATTTTTTATTTTTTTTACTTTGAGACACGGTCTCACTCTGTCTACCCAGGCTAGAATGCAGTGGTGCGACACTGGCTCACTGCAACCTCTGCCTCCCAGGCTCAGGCGATCCTCCCATCTCAGCCTCCCAAGTAGCTAGAATTACAGGCATGTGCCACCATGCCCAGCTAATTTTTAACACTCCCTCCTTTTTTTTTTTATTTTTTTTAATTTTTTTTTTGAGACAGGAGTCTTGCTCTGTCGCCCAGGCTAGAGTGCAGTGGTGCAATCTCAGATCACTGTAACATCCACCTCCCAGGTTCAAGTGATTCTCCTGCCTCAGCCTCCCAAGTAGCTGGGACTACCAGCATGTGCCACCACACCCAGCTAATTTTTGTATTTTTAGTAGAGATGGGGTTTTGTCATGTTGACCAGGCTGGTCTTGAACTCCTGACCCCAGGTGATCTGCTCACCTTGGCCTCCCAAAGTGCTGGGATTACAAGCGTGAGCCACCGCACCCAGCCAACACTCCTATTTTCTAAGGGAAGAAATGAAGTCTCAGAGAGGTTGAGCAACTTGTTTAAAGTTGCACTGCTGCTATCGCAGCTGGGAGATCCCAAGGTTCTGGCCGACTCCAAAGTTCACGTTCGTAAGGTCCAGTGTGTCCAGCTGTGAATGCCAAAACCCCCAAACTCAAGGTGAAGCATCTACTGGAAGTCGAGTCCTGCAGGGATGACCTCCATAAGCAGCCCAAACCCAGCTCTCTGGGGCAAATTCTTTTTTTTTTTTTTTTTTTTGACATAGAGTCTTGCTCTGTCACCCAGGCTGGGGTGCAGTGATGCGATCTCAGCTCACTGTTGCCTACACCTCCCAGGTTCAAGTGATTCTCTGCCTCAGCCTCTCGAGTAGCTGGGACTACAGGTGCATGTCACTCTATCGGGGTGGGGCCAAGAATTATGAATTCAAATTGCTTCTTCTATAAGCCACACTTTTGTGTTCTAAACAACGTTTAGATAGTGGCCACCCTTGTGTATTAAAAATAGTAGCGTTCTAAACCCGCACAACTATCCTCCATGTTCCAGAGAACATTTCCATCAGTGTAGAAAGTTCTATCGTATGGCACTGGTCTAAATGGGAGGATGGACAGGAAAGAGGCAGGAAGGGAACAAGAAGACTAGTTGAAACTGGAATAATATGCCATGCATACATTTGTTTAGTGAAAACAAAACAATGTTACTGGGTTCTAGCTGGATATTGTTGCCAAAAGCTCTGAATTTGAGATCTGTTATCTCTGCCAAACAGACTAAGGAGTGTTAGAGAGGCATTAAAGACACAGTCACACAAAACTGAGACTTTCTCCCGTTTTTTAGAGCTAGGGTCTTGCTGTGTCACCCAAGCTGGGGTGCAGTGACACTTGTAACCTCAAACCAGCTCGCTGTAACCTCCAACTCCCGGGATCAAGGGATCCTCCTACCTCAGCCTTCCAAATAGCTGGGACTACAGGTGCCCATTGAGATGGAGTCTTGCTCTGTTGCCCAGGCTGGAGTGCAATGCTGTGATCTTGGCTCACTGCAACCTCCACCTCCTGGGTTCAAGTGATTCTTCTGCCTCAACCTCCCAAGTAGCTAGGATTACAAACGTGCACCATCACGCCCAGCTAATATTTGTATTTTTAGTAGAGATGAGGTTTCACCATGTTGGGCAGGCTGGTCTCGAACTCCTGACCTCAAGTGATCTGCCTACCTTGGTCTCCCAAAGTGCTGGGAATACAGGCGTGAGCCACCATGCTTGGCTAACACCTGGTTAATTTTTAAACTTTTTGTAGAGACACGTCTCCCTATGTTGCCAAGGCCGGTCTCAAATTCCTGGCCTCAAGCAATCCGCCCGCCTCAGCCTCCTAAAGTGCTGGGATCAGAGGCACGAGCCAGTGCTCCCAGCCCTTGATTTAATTAGGAGGATTGAAAACGAATAGAGAAAGGAATAACTTTTCCAGTCTGCAATTCCATGTTCTTTAATGGTTTTTGCTGCCCCGACCGTGGTCTTGTGTCCTGCCCCACACATTCAGGCACCGATCGAGTTCAGCTTTGCACCCCAGCACTCTACAGAAGGCGGCACTGAGGTGTCAAGAACGGGGGTCACCTGTCCATGGCCACACAACTGGCTAGTGGCCCCTTTGCTGTGTCTCTACCCAGCTCTAAAATGCGGCTTCTCTTGGCACAGACATGTCCAGGGCTTACCTTTCATTTGTGATGACCCCACAGTAAGTGTTACGGGGTCCTCTCTCATTTTGGCTTCCTCCCAGAACACCTGCCCTGATGTGTTCTGTGGACAGATGACATCTTCCACCAAGGCCAGGAGACTGTTGATGTCCATCAAGTTCACTGAGTCCCAGCCCGAGGAGGGGGATGGCAGCTTGAGGGCTTTGAAGAGGGAGCTGACAATCCTTGACACATCCTGGTGGGGAAAGGGGCCACGAGCCAAGGTGAGGGGTGCAGCACAGGAGTCAAGAGCACACGCCCTGGGCCTGGCAACCTGTGTAGGGAGCCCTGCTTTGCCCATTGAGATGTGAGAGTGACCTCCGTGAGCTTCCATTTGTCAGCTCTTAAATCCCTCTTCTACGGTTTGAACTCATTCCAGGCTGTACTCCAAAGCAGGGCAGACAGTAGGTGCTCAATGAAAGCTTATTGAATGCATGATGCAGAGCGGGGAGTTCTGTCCATGGGCTTCCAGCCTGGGAGTCTACCATGAAGGCATAATTCTTTGCACATAGTAGATACTCAAAAAGTGTGTGTGTGTATGTGTGTGTGCACATGTGTATGTACGTGTCTGTGTGTCTCTGTGTGTGTGTGCATGTATGCATATGTGCACCTGTGTGTGTGTGTGCATGTATGCATATGTGCACCTGTGTGTGTGTGCATGTGTGTACAGATGCATGGGTGCATGCATGTTGCATGTGTATGTGTGTTTTCAGTTGATGAATTTTGGCATCTCATGCTGCCGGGCAACACAGGGCTGCTGGGCCTCAAGCCCCAGGCCTCACCCCGACTTCCGCTGAGGCTAGAGCACTCCCCACACTAGCTGAGGTTGAGGACCTGCCTTGGTCACTGTTTCAGGTGTCAGAAGGCCGTCCTCCATGGGCTGTGGGGAGGGAGTCAGTTTGGGGGACCCCTGGTCCCGTTTCTCAGTGTTCTGCTCCTTAGTGACCCGGGGACGGGCGTTCCGAAAGATCTGAACAATCAGGAGGTTGATGGGGAACATGAGGATAGAGCTCTCCAGGCCAATCATCACCTCCTGCCAGGTGAATTCAATTTTACCTGGGGAAAGGGAAGGAACAGGTCAAAGGGAGAGGCCACCACCCAGAGCCCAGTCCCATCTGCCCTTTGTGGAAGGTGGCTGTGCTCTGAAGGGTTAAC